ACAGAGATGACTGGTGGTGATTTAACCTGAGGATCATCATTCCTCAGACAAGGGGAGAGGATGAGAAGGAGAGTCCTTCATAGCAAGCTTAGCTTTTGTGGGAATGGAACCCACACTGTTAGCGTCACACTGCTTTATGTACCAGCTGTGCTAAACCGACCCCCTCACAGGAGCAAAGCCACAACCTCATTATTATTGCTAAATAGGAATGTTAAACAAAAATTACTTAAAATGATATCTGCCCCGAAAACAATCCAGTTATAATTGGACATGCTTCCCCCTCTTGGGAATGTGTTACCCTAACTGCATCTCACATTCATTTTCTTTCCCTTTTCCACCCTCTCTCCCCATATTCTGACACATCACCTGAAAGGCAAAAAAGATAACTGGATTGTCTTTCAGTCATACAGAACTGGAGTATTGCTGAAGAGATGCATTAGGTCAAAACTTCATCAAAGTAAAGGGAAAACAACATGCATGCACAAATGTGGGGAAACTGCTGGCAGCAATTTTTGCCCTTGTTGGCACTCTGGGCACTGCCTCACCAACGCAGCTATGTCTGTACCCAATCCTGGCCACCAGACATAACTTCTCCACAGCATCTTTATTTTGGAAACCCCTGGTGGACCCCTGACCCTGGTGGACTTCAGTCAGTATCTGGTGGTGACCTTTGCTCAGGATAATCACCCTTGCTCCCCATAATAATGTGTCATCCTCTACTGTGATCTGGTTTCTCCGGGTCCAGAAAGGTTTTAGTTCTGGGTGTGATGTCCCTTTGGTTTCCTCCTCTTTAAAGTAGACCTAGCAGGGGTTTGCAGTCCAATATTATTACAAATTTATGCCTGTAAAGCTAATGGGGGAACTTATTGACTCCAAACATGACTGCCAAACCTTCTTTCTGTACCTGGGCATATCTACACTCTGCATTAGCCAAAGGCCTGGATGCATACGCTATTGGGCGTTGCTCTCCATTGGGCCATCAATGAGCTAATACTACCCTGACACCGAACGAGGAGGCATCACTTGTCAATACCAGATCTGGCTTGGGATCATAGTGTGCCAACACCTTAGACAACGATGATTGTTTCTTCACTTCCCTGAAGGCTATGGCTTGGCTATGTGACCATTTTCAAGACTGATGCTTTTTTAAGAGTTGACGCAAAGGTGCCAGAATGGAGGCCAGGTTATTAATGAACTTTTCATAATAGTTCACCACACCAAGGAAAGACCAAAGCTCCGTACTAACATGGGAGCCGGGGCACTTTTGATCGCCCACACTTATTTTCCAACAATGTAACCCAGTCTTGTCAACTCTGTAGCCCACGTAGGTCAGTTGGGGTGCCTGGAACACATGTTTTTCCCTTCTAAGGTGTACACCCACCTGGGAGAAAAATTGAAGGACTATGTACAAGTTTTTTTTAAGTGTTCCTTATTTGTCTTCCCTGTTTTTAGCATGTCATCAAGATAAATGGTGATCTGGGGTACATCTTGTAAAGTGTTTTCCATTATCTGCTGAAAAATTGCACAGGCTGAGGATACCCCAAATGGGCAGTCTCATATATTGGTACAAACCCTTATGGATATTAATTGTAGCATACTTCTGGGAATCTTCATCTCACTGCAATTGCAAGTAAACATGGCTCATGTCCAGCTTCATGAAGGACAAATCCTCTGCCAGTTTTGCATATAAGTCCTCTGTGTGAGGGATTGGGAATTTATCCAGCTGTGAGAAGCAGTTTACTGTTTGTTTAAAATCCCCACAAAGGCAAACTGACCCATCGGGCTTCACATTCGGTACGACCAGTGCTACTCATTCCACAAACTGGACTCATTTGCTGATTCCTTCGCTTTCCACCCTTTTGATTTCTGCCTCCACCTGTGACCATAAGGCAATTGGCACTGGGCAGGCCTTGCAGAATCGTGGAATTGCTTCCGGCTCAACATGCAAGGTGGCCTTGGCTCCTTTGATAGTCTGTAGACCTTCCTGAAAAGTGTCTGGGTATTTAATTAGGATTTCACTCAGGCAGCTATTTCCTAGTCAAAAAATGTTGTGCCAATCTAGGTGAATCTTTCCTAGCCAATTTTTCCCCATCAAAGATAGTAGGAACTGCAGATGCTGGTGAATCCGAGACAACAAGGTGCAGGGCTGGATGAACACAGCAGGCCAAGCAGCATCATAGGAGCAGAAAGGCTGACGTTTTGGGCCTAGACCCTTCATCAGAAAAGGGGGAGGGGAAGGGGGTTCTGAAATAAATAGGGAGAGAGTGGGAGGCGGATAGAAGATGGATAGAGGAGAGGATAGGTGGAGAGGAAACAAACAGGTCGAAGAGGCGGGAATGAGGCCAGTAAAGGTGAGTGTAGGTGGGGAGTTAGGGAGGGGATAGGTCAGTCTATACTCTGGTTTCACTTCAGATCGTATAAATTTTTCTCTTTTCCCCATCAAGCCTGGGCCCAAGCCTTTTACTACAATCAGAGGTAACTGAACCAGCAGCTTCTCATAAGAGACCGGAACCAAGGTCATACCCTTAATCTGTAAAGGATCCCCATATAGGTTCTCAGTCTAGCCAAGGTCTTGTGCAAACTTAAGGGTTGGAATTCAGAGAAAATTTTGTTAAAGACTGATTCTGCAATTACAGAAAGGACCACCCCAGTATCAACCTCTATTAGAACCAGGTGACCATTTAACTAGATGTTTATTTTGATTCATTCTTATTTGGGTATTGCTAAGCAAGTTAACTGTTCCTGAAGAAAATTTTAACCGTTTGGCTGAGGCTTGACTTTGTTTTGGGGCTTTTCTGTGGGTTGTCCGAGAGCCCTCTATTCAAGGATGTTGCGCTGATTGCGGCTGCGCAATTATCTTTCCTCAAGTGGCATTCCCCAAGGCCAGTCAGACTGGCGAGGGTATCCACTTTCATCAGAATACACTGCAACTCCTTTAAGCACTTTTGCATGGCTACCTCATTAATCCCACAGACCAAACAGTCTTACAGCATCTCATTAAGGGTTAAACCAAAGTCACATGCCTCTGCCAATAGTCTTAACCTAGCCAAAAATCCCGATATGGAACCATCTGGTTCTCAAATTGCCGAGTAAAACCAGGACCTCAGAATTCGAGGAGGCCTGGAGTCATAATAGTCCTTAAGTAAATCCATCAACTCTTCAAACGTTTTAGTGTCTGGTGCTTCCGGGAAAGCTAGGCTTCTAATAACTGATAAAGCTACAGGTACATAAGCAGTCAGGAGAATTACTCATTGCTTTTCATCTGCCACGATGTCATTTGTCCAGAAAAAAAAAATGCATTCTTTCCACGTACTGGTCCCAGTCTTTGATGACAGGTTCGAATGAGCCAAGCTTCCCAAATAATGACACGATGCCAGAAATGCTTACTCCAACTCAAAGACGACTGTTGTGAACAAACTTCTTCAAGAGTGTGCTTTTCTCTCATTGCCACTGAAATAACTCCACAGAGGCTGGTATCCCATTACCCTGTATTTACATGTGGAGGGTCCTTGACATTGATCCAGCTCCCTGGGAGCCGGCTTTCAGATTGAACAGAACCTCTGACATTTCTGTTTATATTTATCAGCCAGGGCTCTCTGATCGGACCAGATTAACAGCCCCAATCAGGGAACTCATATTCTATGAGGTCCACCTGGCTGAGCTGATTATAATCAGCACACATAGTGAAGAAGGTTATTTCAGAGTAGAAACAGGAGCTTGATCAGATCGGCCGATGGGCAGACCGGTAGCAGATAATGTTAAATTTAGATAAATGTGAGATGTTGCATTTTGGCAAGGCAAATCAGGGCAGGGCATATACAGTTAATGGTTGAGCCCGTGGGAATGTTGCCAAACAAAGAGACCTAGGGTACAGATACATAGTTCCCTGAAAGTGGAGCCACAAGTTAGACATGGTGGTGACGTAGGCATTTGGCACATTCGCCTTCAGTGGTCAGGGCATTGAATAAAAGAACCAAAAGCACTGTGGATGCTGCAAATCAGGAGCAAAAACAAATTGCTGGAAAAGGACAGTAGGTCTGGCAGCATCTGTGAAGAGAAATCAGAGTTCTGAGGAAGGGTCACTGGACTCGAAACATTATCTCTGCTATGTCCCCACAGATGCTGCCAGACCTGCTGAGCAATTCCAGCAATCTTTATTTTTACATTGAATATAAGTGTTGAAATGTCATGTTGCAGCTATACAGGACATTGGTTTGGCCAGTTTTAGGATACTGCATGCAATTCTGGTCTCCCTGCTATAGGAAAGATATTGTTAAACTTGAAAGGGTGCACAAAAGATTTACAAGGATGTTGCCAGGGTTGGATGGTTAGAGCTATAGGAAGAAGCTTTTATAGGGAGAACTTGAAACGTCGGAAGCTGAGGGGTGACCTTATCGAGGTTTGTAAAATCATCAGGGGCATGGATAGGGTGAATAGACAAAAGTTTTTTTTACCCCAGGATAGGGGATTCCAAAACTAGAGGGCATAGGTTTAAGATGAGAGGGGAAAGATTTAAAAGGGTCCTAAGGGGCAATATTTTCACACAGAGGGCGATGCACATATGGAATGAGCTGCCAGAGGAAGTGGTGGAGGCTGGTACAATTACACATTTAAAAGGCATCTGGATGGATACATGAACAGGAAGGGTTTAGAGGGATATGGGCCAAATTCTGGCAAATGGGACTATATCAGTTTAGGATATCTGGTCAGCATGGATGAGTTGGACCAAAGGGTCTGTTTGAATGTTGTACAGCTCTGTGACTCTATGAGAAGCAGGGTGCCATAGGGATGTGGTGCAAAGGTAATGAGGCAATTTTGGGAAGATAGCCCAATGAAACCGGCTACAGCCCCTGGAGAGAAATCCGACATGAAAGTTGCCAAAATTACCCTTGAGTTGATTTATGGCAAGATTCAGCTCAACATGTTAAAGGTAGTGTGAAAGAATTAGAGGTGGATGATCTGTGTTGAAGTTAAAAGTATATTTTCTGCTTTATTTTCAGCACTTAGTGTTTGGCATCAAATCTTTCATAGCCTACCTAATCCCAGATATGCCCAAAGACCTGTGTGACCGGATGAGGCGGGAAAAGTACCTGGTTCAAGAAATGATGTATGAGGCAGAACTGGAACATCTGCAGAGGGAACGGAAGAAGAATGGGAAGAGATATCACCATGAATGGCCTTAGTGCAAACAATGAGATTAATCAATGGACACTCCAGAGGAACTGCACTTCTATAGAGAATGGAGATGCCAGCTATGCTGCACAAGCTCTTGCAAGTTTTATACACATATAGATATGACTTTTTAATATAATTATAAACTCCTCAAAATGCATGACTTCAAGAGAAAAGGAGAAAGGAGTGGAATTCTTTTCTGTCCTTTGGATTCCAGATTTGTCTGGCACCTAAAAGAATCATGGAAGCCAAGTGTTAACCTCATGATGATTGGGTGTTTAATTTTTAAGAATATTTTACGAATCAGTATGAGTTCACATCACAATCATATGATCCATCCGTACCAAAGAATGAGAGTTTATTTGTAAAACAGTCCCCTCTCATTTTTAATCTCCACTGATATTTGTTCTTCCATCCATTCAAATAGTTTTCTCGGACTGTTTTGAGAAACTTGTTAGTAAAAGGGTTGAGAGCAGGTAGAAACACAGGTGGGTTTGTTGAGCCAATACTGAACCAATGTAAGGAAACATGTTCGAGATGTAACCGATACATGACAGAATAGAATTTGCAAACCTCGATCAGCATTTCAGCTTAATATTCAGTTGTTGCTATTGCAAGAAACACATATATTGGCAAGGGTTTGCTTTTCTCTGTTTTGAAAGTGCTCACCCTTTCAGTCTCCTGTTTCCATTTCACCAGTTCAACCAAGAGGGAAATGAGTAAAAGTGATCTTTATTATTGGCTGATGCAGTGTCTAAATAGTATTACAGAAATGGCCAAATCATCACACATTCATGTTGAGGCATCTTGGCTTCTCACGACGTTCATGATACTTACATGTTTTAATCCATCAATCAGACTAACTTTCGGAGTTAAGTTTGTATCGTACAAAGTGAGAAAACTCAAGTGATCAACTAAAGGTGACTTGCTTTTTGATATCCTACTTCAGATTTCTCGTTATGGCACAGTTGATGGATAACGTGCCCTCTTCTGTATCATCAGAATGCTTGGCTTCATTCGCATGTTTGTTGCATACCACAAACTAGAATGGGAAGCATTAAATTCAGGCAGCTTTCGATATAAATGATAAGCAATGCACATTGGATGGGGATAAAGTGTGTATTGCCTGAAACCCCAAAACAGAATAAATTTATTACTATAAAGGTAACAAAAGTATGCATAGAGTACCTTCACAATCTATAGTTTTGACTGGACATGCCACAACATAATAAACACAGTGAGACGTTTTGTTATGAGGAATCTCACCACATTGAATTTGACTTTTTTTTCAGAGCAGGTTGATGTCAGTGTAGTTGAAATGCTGCCCAGGGATAATTCACATTTGGTGTTGCATAATAGCAAGACTTAAAGATTTACATGAATGCCTCTTTTTAGTGTCTTTTATATTTTGTCTTGTTTCAATGTCTTGCCTTTTTTAATTTGTTACCTATGCAGGGACCTGCTGCCTGTTGCATCTCATAGTTTGTTTCAGCTAATGTAAAATGTAATATGCAAGCACAATGCAACACACAAATTTTAACATTCACATCACAGTTCTTTTGATGATTTTGTTATATCGCAGCGATAAAGGGCTTGTGACATACAGGAGTAGAAACCAGGTCAATACCAGTATGGGAACTGTATATATCGATTCCAGTGATTTAGGGGTCACGGGTTTAAAAAAAAAAGGTCTGTTGTAAGACTACCCAATCAAAATTAAATCCACCAACCATTTTTAGGAACCTTAAGATTAACTTGGATGCCTATACGCAGCAGCAGTGATACCATACGAGTATACGAAATAAATAATTGGGCTATCTTACTTATCAGCATGGCTCACTAAAAGAAAATCTTTAATTTGCCCAATGTCAGTCTTTTTTTTCTTGACTGGTAGGGTGGGGGTGTGTGTATCAGTGTAATTAAGTTATTACTATGCAGTTCAAAACATTGTGCATCACTGACGAGTCTTATGTAACATAGGATTAAATGTCTTAATATCGTAATTGGAACTTTCATCCCAAAAAGATGTTGCTTGAATATAAGATTGCACAGGAATGTCTTGAAACAAATGTCTTGTTGTGTAAGTGAAGTACCACAAAATAAGGACATGACAAAAAAAAATGGCATAACTTAAATCATGAGCTATGCATTGTGACTAACATTTTATTACTTTCTTATCTATTATGCAGGAATATAATGTAGTGTGATTGATTTAATTTGCTGTATATGTAAAAGCAACAGTTGTCACTGTAAATCTCAGATTTGTGGTGTTACGAACACATTATATTTCTATGAATCATTCAACTCACCTATTCCTATATTTGTAATCATTTAAGGTGAAGCTGAGAGTCTAATGGTTTATGGAGTTGATGCAAGATTGAACTCTTCCTTCGAGTTCATTCCTTCCCTCCATGGATGCAGCATAAGCATAGGTGACAATTAGAAGGATCATTTTACAGTTCATTGTGCAGTTCCTCCATTGTTTATTGATTTACGCATCTTGTGCACATTGCCTTATTGCCTTCAGGAATGTCAACACTTAGCTGGAAGGCTGATAAATGGCAGTTTGAAAAGATAAACCTGGAGTGGTCGTATACTTTAACAGTTGATTCCATTCACCCACTCATCCTGAATATACCAGATAACTAGAGAAATGCAAAAACAACTGAGATGTTTTAAGTTGTTTGTAAAACCATTCTGCATGAGCGACTTCAAATGCTTGTATGAAATGCTATTCCTCACCATTATTGCGTTCGCATGCACATAACAGCAAAGCTTTTATGATTGGAGCAATTTCTATATGGCACAACTTGGCCTCTTCTGCGCATTTTTCTACTTGTGCTACCTAGGTTACATTTGGCAAGCTTTAGTCTTGCATGCTTGCAGGTAAAATACTCAGCATGTACTTATTTCAGATTTTCAATATTTCCTACAGTTTATAGAGTTTCGATTCAGTTTAAGGGAATGACAATTTAAGATCATTCCTACTTCTTTTTCATTATTAAATGTCCTTCATTATTATCCTGTTGCAACACTGCAAAGCATCTACCATCTAAGACTAATCTTGGAAACAGCTACTGATATGATACTTTGAGTCAACACATTTTCACTATCAGAAATTTCATTATCATTTCCACTCTTACCCATTGAAAAAATTGCTGGAAGCTCATCAAAAGTTGATTGCTACTTAGCAATCAAATTTCACTAAAATGTATTATATTTTAGTACAATCTTGCCCATTGTATCCTGCTATTGCTTGGTCTTTTTCTGACCCCTCAATTGGCACTGCCATCGGGTGCAGTTAGTTCAGCACCCTGAAGTATTATTGGAATTTTAGCCATTGTGACTAAAATCTTATGGATTATAAAAAATAGCTTATCTGGTCTCCCTCAGTCCACCAGGCTTGTCCCTTTCTTCAAGGAATCTAGAGGGTTGGTTAAGCAAGTTATTCTCCTGTCTTCATTTTAATTAATTTTTACTAGGTTATTATTGCATGAATAAACCTCAATGTATTCCATTTTATTGATACCCAAGTTAAATTACATATAGTCACAATGTAACTAACATTAGGCTATAAGATGTATGAGCAGAAGTAGGCCACTCAGCCCTTCATGTCTGCTTTGCCATTCAATGAGATCATGGCAGATCGCATAATCCTCAACTCCACTTTCCTGCCTTATCCCCATGACCCTTTCTACCCTTATTGATTAAATATCTTTTCCTCCCACCCTTGAATGTTCTTAACTTATGACTTATAATATACCTTTTACTCTTAACATGTTCTTGAATGTTCCCAGTCTCGATAGCCCTCTGTAGTAAAGAATTTCACAGATTTCAGGACCCTCCTCATCTCTGTTTTAAATAGGCAACCACTTACTCTGAGACTGAGGTGCCTTCTGGTCCTAGATTCTCCCAGAAGTGGAAGCAACGTCTCTGCGTCTACTCAGATATGTTCACGATGTTTCAATCAGGTTGTGGCTCATCCAGAGCTATGAGAGAGGCCAGATTTGACATTACGTACACATTGACATAAACTGCTCTCTTTAGAGCTTCAGTCAAAACAGAAATAATGATCAATGATGGTCACCAACCATTACTTGCCTATTGATTCCTACAGAATAGTGGTTGTCTTAACATCAAAAAAAAACCTTCTTAGTCTCCACAAGCTCTCTGAGGCAAAGCAATATTTAGTCCTTGGAACTAATTTGTTTTGAGTCCTTTTAGCCTGTCAGGACATCCATCTCATTCATGTTTTTATTGATTTTGCTTGGTATAATCCTATTTTTGGAGGGCACATTTCTCTTTATCAATTATTTGATTTAGAATATTTACTACTTTGGGTATTCCCTCAGTTAAAGACCATTCAAATCTATCGGGATTTTCAGCTGTTCTTAGCCTATATTCTTACAGCATCAAAACGATTTATACTGTCCACTTTTTTTTCTTCTGGGCCCATTATGCTCTTTTGATCACCTTTCTAGCACATTTCCAGATTTTTTAATCTCACTCAGTCCCATCCCCCTTTCTGTCTGAAAGTTAGCAGGCAGGTCTATTTTGCATTCAGCTTGTTTGCAAATGCAGTGAGTGTCACTGTTGTTCCATCTCAATTTTTGGAAATGTGCTTATCTTACTCACTTAACATTGTGGCCCAGTTTTCCTGGAAGTGCAATGGGACCCCCATACTACAACGTTACAGTGGTGGAGTGGAAGTGGTTCCAGGGAAACTCTTGAGTTTGTAGAAGATGGAAATTAGCTATCAGTGAGTTTAATCTTCAGTTGGTTAGCTTCATGTTCAGAAAATAATTTCCAGTCAAGCAACTACAATAAGAATTAATTGTATGCAATTTGTCCTTTCTTTTACGACTAATCTTAAAATCATTGAATTTTGTATTAAAACTTCATACTGTCATTGAGTGGAAATCATCCAGACTTAAGAATTTAGAATGCAGTTTACAAGTTAAGAAGTGCACTCAGTTCTCAGGAACCCCCGTTAAGTTATTGCAAAATATTATTCTGGTGAATGAAGATATATTTTGTTAGTCAAATTGCTCTGTATTTTGTATTACTGAATAACATGATGCTGCATGCAACTTAAATTTGCAAATTTTGCAAGGGATGATTCATAAGCAGTTCATTTTCAAATAGAGAGTGCTACAATGGTTTGCTGCTCAGCTTCAGAAACCATTTGTTCTTCAATCTGAGAAGTGCTAGCATGACTTTTATAGTGTCATATTTATTTCTATGTATCACTTAGAATATGGCATTTGAGGTGTAATGAGAACAGTAAGAATGCTGTTGATCAAAAGTCTGCTGTAATTTTAGCACTGCTATCTGGTCTGATTCCGTTGCTCTTTTATCATATTCTTTCTCGAGACTTCAAGACAATATTTTCCTTGACCAGATGTTAATGGTGTCAAACTTGTGTCTTGATGAAAATAAGAGTCCAAAAAGACAATAAACTGTCCTGTTCCGCCATAATAATCTTTCTTCCGGGAAATGGTGGAACAGACTTGATGGGCCAAAGGCCCTCCTTTGTACTGTATGCATCTACAATTCTATGAAATGTGAGAGCACTATTTTATGAGGCTTCTTAACCAGTTACAACCTGCAATGCAGTCACCAGGTTTAAAATGCTACACCTGGAGAGGAGTGAACAATTTTTTTTTGTCTGTGTATAACCTGAAGCATAAAAAAAGACACAAACCACTTGGTAAATTTGCTTGGGCCTGTACTGTAATATTTACGAAATGCTATGTTTAATTTTGTAAGATTTACATGTACAAATTGTAATGACTGTATAATACAGATTTGGATATCAGAATTTTCATTAATAAATAATTGTATGCACATCAATGTTTGGATCAGTGAAAATATACTCTATAATTAACACTGTGGGAGTATAATTCCATAATGCCACCGTACAAACAGGGTTTGCTTCAAGGGGAGTCCAGTTGTCACACAGAAGTCTCACATTGGGCCAGAATTTGCTGGCAGCATAATACCGCTTTTAAAGTTCAAACCATTGTCAGTGTGTAAATTGGCAAGGAATATAGAGCAACATTTGTTTTAACCAGCATCTTTTGAACGAGCCCTCTCGATAAACCGGCAAACATTATAACAGTGAAATACTGCAAGTTTACTGCATTATCACAATCTCTGCGATGTCCGAGTAGTCAGTCGAGGGTGTGAGTGAGAAAGCTGTCTGCCCAGTAAGTTTTACTTGAGACAAAGTTGCATTATTATTTAAGTGACTTATGTTATAAATAAAGAATGACAGTGATGTGTATACTCCCTCCATTACATTTCTGTTACTTAGTGTGTGTTTTTATAGTGATTATGTAGACCTCTTGATCAACACAGTGACTCAGTGGTTAGCACTGCTGCCCCACAGCACCAGGGACCCGGTTCGATTCCAGCCTCGGGTGACTGTCTGTGTGGAGTTTGCACATTCTCCCCGTGTCTGCGTGGGTTTCCTCCGGGTGCTCTGGTTTCCTCCCACAGTCCAAAGACTTGCAGGTTAGGTGGATTGGCTGTGCTATAGTGTACAAGGATTTGCAGGCTAGATAGATTGGCCATAGGAAATGTAGGGTTACAGGAATAGAGTAGGCGGTGTGGGTCTGGGTGGGAGGCTTTATCAGATGGTCAGCATGAACTCAATGGGCAGCATGACCAGTTTCCACACTGTGGGAATTTTATGGTTCTTCTATGATAACCGGAGTACTTGATCAACTGGCGGACTCCTGGTTCCATAGGTGCTGGTTAATAAAAAGTTTGCTGTATAGTGAGGGTAGATACACTGGGAAATGCAAGTCAGCACAAGCTGCTGGATAACTCATGTTACTTCCCTATTGACTCAGTGAAAATAAAAGCTTGCTCACAGTTTCCTCATAGCATCTATGGAATTCCTTCACTTTTACATTCATTTCCATCAAAGTTACCAGAGAAAGTTAGGGCTGGTACTTAACAGTCTAAGAATCATTTTGACCATGAGATTAATTTTCCTGAAAAGACACTCAACCTCTCCTAGGCCCAGAACGGAAATAACTACAATTGTGCAAACTCATATAAAATGTTTTAAGTTTATGTTTTGTTCTTATCTTAATGTCGTTCTCTCTGCCTCTTTAAGCTAAACTTGCTTTCATTCTCTTTTCCTGATACTGTACCTGATTTTACTCTTAATTCACCCTCCTTCTACCTTGTCATTCATAAAGTCATAGGATCATAGCATCATATAGCACGGAAACAGACACTTCGGTTCAATCAGTCCAAGCCGACCATAATCTCAAACTAAACTAGTCCCACTTACCTGCTCCTGGTCCCTATCGCTCCAAATCTTTCCTATTCATGTACCTATCCAAATGTCTTTTAAACATTATAATTGTACCCACATCCACCAATTCCTCAAGAAGTTCATTCCACACACAAACCACCCTCTGTGTAAAAAAAATTGCCTCATGTCTTTTTTAAGTCTTTCTCCTCTCACCTTAAAAACGTGTCCCCCTAGTCTTGAAATCACCCACCCCAGGGAAAGGACAACTATCATTAACTCTATCTATACCTCTCATTATTTTATAAACTTCTATCAGGTTGCGTCTCAACCTCCTACACTCTGGTGAAAAAAAGTCTCAGCCTATCCAACCTTTCTTTATAACTTAAACCTTCTATACATGCCAACATCCTGGTAAATCTATTCTTAACCCTCTCCAGCTTAATAATATCCTTCATTTAACTGGGTGACCAGAACTAGACATAGTACTCCAGGAGAGGCCTCACCAATGTCCTGTACAACCTCAACATTCCTCCACTTCTTTCTCAATTCTAAATTCTTATCAGTTAAACATAGAAAATAGAAGCAGGAGTAGGTTGAAAAGCCCATCAAGCTCACTCTGACATTTAACACCATCATGGTAGAGCCTCTAATCTACCATCACCCCATACTGCACCCCCCACCTCGCATTCATTGACACCTTTAGCCTCTAGAAACCAATCTACTATTTTGTTAAATGTACACAGTGAAGTGACATGGCCTCCATTGCTTTCTGCAGCAGAGAATTCTACAGGTTCCCTACCCCCTCAGTGAAGAGATACCTCGTCGTCTCTATCTGAAATAGCCTACAATGTATGCTGAGACTATGATGCCTTGTTCTTTGCACCCTGGCCACAGGGAAACACCTTCACTGCATCCAGTTTGCACAGCCCTGTCAGAAATCAGTGAGAGTCCCTTTGGGGACTCAATCATGCCTTACATGATGGACCTGCCAACTCTGGAATCAGTGTGGTGAACATTAACTGTACTCCCTCTACAGCAAGCATACTTTTTCTTAGGTAAGGAGACCAAAACTGCACACAGTGTTCATGTATATTCTCACCAAAGCGCTATGCAGCTCCTATACTCAAACACTCTTGCAGTGAAGACCAACATGCCATTTGCCTTCCTAAATGCTCACTGCACCATATGTTTGCTTTCAGTGGCTAATGTACAAAGACACCTAGGTCCCTTTCTTTGGGAGAGATTGGAGTACAATTACCATTTATATAATACACTGCTGTTATATATGTTTCCTACCAAAGTGTACAAAGTCATACGTTTCCATGTTACACTTCATCTACCAAGCATCTGCCTAATCACTCAACTTGCCCAAATCACCCTGAAACCTCTTTACATCTGCCTCACCATACACTATCTCACCTTGTTTCGTTTCATCAGAAAACTTGATGTTGCATTTGATTCCATCATCCAAATTAGTGATATATATTTTGAATAGCTGATCCTGCAGTACCCAATCCAATACTGCTTACACTCTGAAAAAGATGCATATTTTCCTACTCTGTTTCCTGCTAACCAATTCTCAATCCATAAGATATGTAATAATCCCATGTGCTCTGATTTTGCACACTAACCTCATGTGGGGTTTTATTAAAAGCTTACTGGAAATTCAAATACACCACATCTACTGGGGCTCCCTCATCTATTTACATCCTCAAAAATCTCCAGTAGCTTTTTTAGCCTCCAGTTTGCTGGAAGCAGATAAATGCATTTCCTGGGGAAAGAGGGTTCAACGGATATCGAGAGAAAGGGAAAACAAGATACTGAGTAGAATGATCATACTGAATGGCACAGCAGGCTCAAAGGGCCGAATGGTCTCCTCCTATATTCTATGTTTCTCACTATTTCATTGATTTTATCTTTCACTAACAATGCCACCCCATCTCCTGTTCCTTTTTGAACACACTTAGATGTTCAGTTCTCTGCCTTGGCCACCCTGCAGCCATGTCTCTAATCATAATCACATTGTCCTTGTTTACATGTGTTTGCACTGCTACTTCATCCATCTTATTGCAACTGTGCATTCAGGGATAGTACATTATCTATTAATACATCTTAAATCCCACCACAGGAAGTGGTGGGATTTAAGCACTGCTTTAGAGAATTGAACAAAAAACAGAAGTTGCTGGAAAAACTCAGCAGGTCTGGCACCATCGTTGAAGAAAAAAATCAGAGTTAATGTTGCGAGTGCAGAACTGAGGAAGGGTCACCAGACCCGAAACATTAACTCTGATTTTTTCTTCACAGATGCTGCCAGACCTGCTGAGCTTTTCCAGCAACTTCTGTTTTTGTTCCTGATTTACAGCATTCACAGTTCTTTTGGTTTTTGCTTCAGAGAATTGGCTTGGCTTGAATACTAATCCAGTGACATTACCATTATGAGACCTTCTGCCCCTGGCCAAGCTGTGTTTTAAATTTCAGACTAAGTTGATTGCAATAAAATGAGGAGAGGGTGAGGAAGAGGTGGAAGAAGGAGAGGAGACATTGAGGATGAGGAGTAGGAGGAGGAGGGTATTGACTGTATTGTGACAGAGCTCGTTGAGGTAAGAGAGCTGGATAATAGACCTGAACGTTTCAATGCAACTAGCAGCTAACTTGAATGGATCCATCAAATTCTATAAAACAGAAGCTCATTACCCCATTGCAGAAAAGTGGAAAGTACAGTGGTACGCCAGTGGCTTTGAACGTGCTCTTCCTAATGGGCTTAGTACTCCAAGGCTACTCAGTTCCATTGCTATTGTGATCTAGTGCTAAAGTGGTGAACTTCATATAGAGTTGCATGATGAGAAAGTTGTTTTTCCATTTGGCTTATTAACTACGGTGGAATTACCAAACCTATGATTTTTAACTGATAAATGCCCAAATAATTATTTCCCCAATTCCTACAGTAACAGTTCAGATGCATGAATTTTGGATTCACACAGGTCTTAAATATCCACCTCAATTATCTTGTGAAACTAAAGATAGGTATCTTTAATCAAACCAAAATTACAATGAGTGTGTTGTTCTGGGATATATGCCGATGGAATGTTCATCACCTTGCTTATGTCCACTGCCAAACTATTATCTGACATTTTATTTTCGATGTTAGCCTGCAATGTAAATATAAGATATTGTAAGTGATAGTCCTCTTCCTAAGGAAATAGTGATGCACATGTTTAAAAATAGAACATTTTTCCAAAACATTTCAACATAGGAAGATCACTCTGAGTTGCAATTATCAATATCAAGGTATGATTCAACTAAAGAGAATGTCAAATTGCTTTTCTTTTTACCTTTTACAGGTTATTTTGAATATGAAACCTCATGCTATCCTCTCGGAGGCAAGTCATTACCTTCAAGATGTTGAATGTGGCCTTGAAATCAAGGTGAGCTTTTAGTAAATTGCTGAAGATGAGCCAAGTCATCTTGTCTTCAGAAAGGCAGGCATGTCCCACAAGATTGGAGTTGGGATTCTCTCAGATGACCTCTCACTGACTTTTTGGGACAGTTTCAATATCTGATGGACAATTAGCTGGCATCTGGATTGCTGCAAAAATATCTTCAGATTTGAGCTAGAGTCAGGAAATTCAGAGGGGCTCCGATTCACTCAACTGGTTACCCAGGAAATGTTCGAAGGATTGGTCAGTATACAAATGACTATCCACCAGTACCACATTGGACCCTATTTTCCACCACTTTCCCCATCAACTCTCATACCCCATCCCCATGGACTGTCACCTTCATCTCTTCCTCTTCCCCCTGTCCCCCCGATGACAGTTTAACCTATAGCTCTACCTCTGCCCATTCAACCGGTCATACTGCACATCTACTGGGAAGGATATTTTATTCTATATTGAACCTCTCTCTGGTCTCTCTCAGTAGGAATGAAAAGGTCAACATGCTAAACACTTCAGCAATTATTTTACCATGATGCTTGTCTAGCCATTTAACTTAAGAGACATGATTTCTTCAAAATGTTGTTTTGACCCACTGCTTTAAAAGAAATTGATTCTGACCCTCAAGAAAATCAAGTCACCTTCACAAAACTGAAACCAAAATCTCATTTACCTCTTCTTCAAAGACCAAGATCCCAAATAATAATACTAGATTATAAACCATTCACTCACATAACATACAATGGAAAGGACGTTGAGAAAAATAGACTAACCTCTATGGTTTCCTTCTCTCCTTGACCAAAGCAACACTCCCTTTTGAACTCCTCTGACAGATTGCAGACTGGTCTGATCAGCAAAGGCTTCACATTTCCATTGTGTGTGCGTCCTGGAAAAGAAGACAGCATTCCTATGGTATATCTCATGGTTGTTTAGTATTTGTTTGAAGTACAGCTGACTATTCATCACATGTGGTCTGTAACTGGGCACCCATGTGCCAGTGTTTTCATCAGTTGTAACCTTGCTACCTATTGCATCATTTCTGACTCCTCAAAGGCTGTCTATTATCTACAAGGCACAAGTCAGGAGTGTGTTGAAATACTCCCCACTTGCCTGGATGGATGCAGCTCAAACAACACTCAAGAAGCTTGACACCATCCAGGACAAAGCAGTTCACTTGGTTGGCACCACATCCACAAGCATCCACTCTCTCTGCCACTAATGCTATATCTCCATCTCTAGTGTGTACCAACTCCAAGATGCACTGCAGGAATTCACCAAAGATCCTGAGACAGCACCTTCGAAACCTACGGTCACTACCATTTAGAAAGGCAAGGGCAGCAGATACCTGGGAACACCACCACTTGCAAGTTCCCCTCCGAGCTACTTACCATCCTGACTTAGAAATATATCACCGTTCCTTCAGTATCACTGGGTCAAAACCCTGGAATTCTGTCCCTAACAGCATTGTGGGTCAACCTATAGCACATGGACTGCAGCAGTGCAAGAAGGCAGCTCATTACCACCTTCTCATGGGCAACTAGGGATGGGCAAGAAAATAATGGTATAGCCACCGGCACCCACGTCCCACAAATGCATATAAAAAGTTAGGTGGGGTGACCAAAAACTTGGCCAAAGAGGTTTTATGCAGTTTCTTAAAACTGTGGAAAAGCAGAACATATGAATACACAAAGGTGAACAAGCAGCTGGACTAGGCCATTTGGCCTGTTGAGCCTGCTGTCACATTTGAGAAATTTATGATTGACCCGCTTGCATCCTTGAATCTCCAGTCATGACTACCTCTCAAAAGCTATCACACACTCCCCTTCCTTGAAAAAAGTCCATCTCTACCTTAAAAACATACAAAGACTTTGCTTCCACCACCTTTGCAAGAAGAAAACTTCAAAGACTCAGGGTAAGCTGAAGGAAAAAAAAAACTCCCCATCCTCTGTTTTAAATGGGCAACTCCTTATCTGGAAACAATGGTTCACATTTCTCCCACAACAGTATCCCTTGTTCTCATAACTAACCTCTCAGGATCTTATAAATTTCAATCAAGTTGCCTCTTATTTTTCTATAATCTGTTGGATATAAACCTGTCCAACCATTCCTGATAAAAACAACCCATTCTAGGTATCAGTTGAATCTCTAAATTGCTTCCAAAGCATTTACATCCCTTCCTTAAATCAGGTGATCATTACTGAATACAGTACTCCAGACGTGGTCTCACTAGTACTCTGTATAACTGAAACATTGCCTGATGTATTCAATTTCCCTCACAATAAATGATAACGTTCTATTAACTTTCCGAATTACTTGCTACACTTGCATATTAACTTCTGCATCTCCGACCTCTGCAACACCTGTCCTGTGGAGGTAATAAGCTTTGCTTTTATGCTTCTTGGAGAAATTGACAATGCTGTTCTTTCAAACATATAGCATTTGCAAAACTTGGCCCATTCAATTAAACTATCAAAAGCTTTATGTAGCCTTCTTTAGTCCTTTTCACAACTTACTTTCCCCTATCTTTGCATTATCAGCAAACATGGCAACCATACCTATGTTCCTTCATGTAAGTCATTTATATCTATTTTAAACAATTTAATTACCAGCACACTGATCCCTGTAACACACCACATGTTACATATACCAACCAGAAATACACCCACTTATGGCTATACTCCGCTTCCTGTTATCCAATCTTCTATCTCTGCCAACATCTTAACCCCTACACCATTATCATTTATTTTCTGCAATGACCTTTGCTTTGGAACTTTATTTAATGCTTTCTGGAAAGCTAAGTAAAGCACATCTACAGGTTCCCCTTTATACATGAATTGGCTAGACATGATTTCCCTTTCAAAAAACCATGTTGACTCTGCCTAATTATGTGGAACTTATTTAAGACCACCACTTAAAAGAACATACTTAATACTAGCTTCTAACATTTTCCTTCTGACAGATGTTAAGCTAACTGTCTGTAGTTTTGTCCTTTCTGTCACCATCCCTTTTGGATAAAGGAGAAACATTTGTTATCTTTAGATCTTAGAGTCATATAGGACCGAAACAGACCCTTCAGCCCAACTTATCCATGCCAACCAAGTTTATAGAGTCATAGAACCATATAGCATGAAACAGAACCTTTGGTCTAACTTGCCCATGCATACAGATTTCCCAAACTGAACTGAACTTGCCAGCATTTGTCCCACTTCCCTCTAAACCTTGCCTATTCACATATCTGTCTAAATGTCTTTTAAATGTTGCAATTGTACTCACCTCTACCACTTCCTCTGTAGTTCATTTCATATGTGCACCGCCCTCTGTGTGAAAAATTTCCTAAACTGAAATAGTCCTATTTGCCTCCATTTGGCCCATATCCCTCTGAACCGTTTCTATCTGTTTACCTGTCGAAATGTCTTCTAAATGTTGTAATTGTACCAGCCTCCACCACTTCCTCTGGTAGCTCGATCCATACACGCACCACCCTCTGTGTGAAAAGGGTTGCTCCTCAGATCCCTTTTAAAGCTTTCCCCTCACATTATAATCCTATGCCCTCTAGTTTTGCCCCAGTCCTAGGGAAAAGACCTTGGCTATTCACCTTATGTATGCCTCTTATGGTTTTATAAACCTCTGTAAGGCCTCTTACACTCCAGAGGAAAAAAGTCCCAGCCTATTCAGCCTCTCCCTTCAGCTAAAACCCTCCAACCCCGGCAACATCATTATAAATCTTTTGTGCAGCCTTTCTAGTTTAATAACATCTTTCCTAGAGCAGGGTGACCACAACTGTACACAGTCCTCCAAAAGTACTTCAAAATTTCAATTTCTTTAACGAAGCTAGGATGAAGTCCATCATGATTTGCCTCCACTTGTCAACCATAGTTCCAACAATTTACTCAGCATCGTGCCTCCAATGATTGTGATTTTCCTAAGTTCCTCCCTCCCTTCTACATCTGAATTGAATGCAGTTCCAACAACACTTAAGATATCAACACCATCCAGGCTACAGCCACCGCTTGAGTGGCACCACATCCATCATTGTCAACATTTACTCCTTTTACTTCTCTGAATGAACTACAACAAAACTCCTGCAGCAATTACAGAAACCAGACCTCCGAAGGGGTTGTGGTCCCATTTTGGCAGTCAGAGGCAGGGTGTGTTTCATACCACTTCTGACTATTCTTTGAACTGGAATGTATAACAGGGCGCTAAACCTTAACCAAAAGTTAGGTTTTCATTCAACTCAGCCTTCCCCCATGGTCATTGTTCCACAATGTTAATGCTTGTAGCAAAAATAAAATTATGTAGTGAAGCTTGTGGTCTGGGCAGAAGGTTGACACACTCATCAAGATCAAAATCCAATATATATGACAGCAGCTCAATTTGCTTTATAGTATCATGAATGACCCAGGTTGGTGTCTCGAATGTCCAAGAAAACAATAAGAATAGGAGTGAACAGGATATTCATTTCCTCCATTTCAACTCCCTCCCCTATCATTCCAGTAAAGCTCTCATTGTCCCAAAGGACAATAGGACTGCTCTCTCTTTAGATTGAAGCAACTGGAGGTGGCTTAACCTGAGGATCACCATGCCTTAGGCAATGGGTGAGGTTGAGAAAGTGGAACCTTCATAATAAGGCTGTATTTATCCACAGCTCTATTGTAATGGCAACGTATTGAGTTGCGTGTGAAGCAATAATGACACATTACCAGCTCAGTGTTTGCTTTTCTGTATTTGAGATTAAGGCAGCACTGGTAACAGTTAAATCCAAAGACCACTATTCAACATAGAGATAGCAAGAACTGTAGATGCTGGAGTCAGAGACAACACAGTGTGAAGCTGGAGGAACACAGTAGGCCAGGAGCAGGAAAATTGACATTTTGGGTCGGGACCCATGTTGCCTCTATTCAATGTATCTAGGATTGTCAATAGAATTGGGATTGTCATTGTTATGTTGCAGATTGTCAACAATAGACTGTCGTTCAGAGATGGATGAATCTTTAGAATCCTCTACCTCAGTGTGCTGTGGAGGCTCTATCAGTGAATACATTCAAAACACAAATCAATAGATTTCAAAGTATTGTGTTTCAAACTAAACCAAATGCACCACATCTGTTCAAGAAGGCATCTCACCACTACCTTCTCAAGGATAAGAATGCCTGGGCAGTAAATGCTGACCCAGCCAGTGATGCCCACATCCCATGAATGTTAAGTATATGAAGCGATATAACAGGGTAGTGTAGGAACAGGTGTTGAGATGGAAAATCTAGTTGATTAGAGTATATACTCCCGGGGCTGAATGGCTTACTCTTGCTCCTATTTGTCATTGATGTATCAGCATTCACACTAATGATCACTAGCATAAAATCTTAGAATCCCTACAGAGTGGAAGCAGTCCATTCAGCCCATCAAGTCCACACTGACCCTCCAAAGAGCATCCCACTCAGAGCCAACCCCCTGTCCCATCACTGTAACTGTGTATTTCCCATGGTTAATTCACCTAACCTACACATCCCTGGACACAATGGGCAATTTACTATGTTCAATCCAGCTAACCTGCACATCTTTGGACTGTGAGAGAAAACCAGAGCACCCAGAGGAAACCCACACAGACACAGAGAGAACATGCAAACTCCACACAAAAACAATCACCAGAGGGTGGAATCAAACCCGGGTCCCTGGTGCTGTGAGGCAGCAGCGCTAACCACTGAGCCACCGTGCTCCCCAGCGTTTACTTCATGATTGGATTATAAACAATGGTGCCATATCCACTGCGAACTTTGGTCTGAAAATTCAAAATGACATTTAAAAAACAACTGAATAATCATTGTCTGTAATGAGGTGAGAAATACCAAGAGCTGATAAGATCTACAAAGCTTGAATCTTTAAAAACTGCTAAAACAGACCTGATAGAAAGCTTAGCAGAAGACCTGCTACTGATGACCCTAGAAAACCCAAAGGACTGTAGTAGAGGTAGGATATAGAATACCACCTGTCTGCCAGTGGAGATCTGCCAATGAAAAACAGAAGGGTAGTATTGTTATTATCACTTTATTTAATTACAGCAATTCTTAACTTGAACAGAACTAACATAATCATACCTGTATATCTCTGTGGGGATTACGGTTGGCAATGATGTTGAAAAAAGATCTGATGTGTTCAGTGGTAAGCAACCATTAGTACTTAAATATAAAGGTAGTGTCTTCGATGATGGTGCAGGATACATAAAGCCACCAATTGCAGGCCAGAATGATAAGGTTACTCCAATGACCAGGCCTCCAATTGCACCCTGTGCGAGTCAGATGCATTTGTGCTCAAAATAATGGGTTAAAAAAAGGTAATGAATTAAAATTGAAGGTAGGAATGAGCTATCTACTTACAATCCAGTTTGCACAAGGAAATAAAATGCCCAAGGTAAATAACCCAAGCATTGGCCCCCCACACATCCCATGAATACTGAGAGCTGCCTGTAAATTAGAAGGAAACAGTTAGAACAATTAATACAGAAACAAAAACACATTTTTGAAAGTCACTTTCCTGACATGAGCAAAGAAGAAATTGCTAGTGCTGGAAATCTTAGTAGTGGGCGGGGTGCTGTTAAAGGAAAAGACAGGGGAAGTACAGGAAGTGTCAGCTTTTGGGGAAAGAATGGGGAAAGTCAGTAATTTGGGAATGTCCTTCTTCAGAACTGAACTCTAGAAAGGATTATAAAAGGATTCAATAGAATTGGAAAGGAGGGAGAGATACTCCAAACACAGAGAGCAAGCTCACCAGCACATGACCTGAGCACTATTTCAAGGAGCGATTTGTGGGTGATGCCAGAATTCACCACAATCTGGCATCAGAATAAGCATGTGTGACATCGAAGAGACAATGAAACATGGGTCTGTCAATCTAGAGAAGGAGAGAAAGAAAATAGCCCAGGCTGGTCTGACAATGTCATATTCAAACATAAATGTTATCCTACCTCTGAATGTGACAAACCCAGCCCAGGTTATGACCACTTCCTGCTGTAAAGGAAATAGCCTACTTTCAGTTGCAGGGTGTTGTGTGGTTCTTCAACTGTTCATGCTCAGTCCCATTTGAGGGAGCGGCCTAGTTACAGAGGGGATGGCAAATCTGAAAGTATAACCTTAACGATACACAGACCTGAAAAGGGCCCGTGAGTTCTTCCTGTGTGGTGGGAAGCCATCTACTTTGGATGTGTTGCGTAATGTCATTGTGAACAAATAACATTCAATGGGACAGGAAATATAAAAGTCTTTTATGTTCAGATATGTGTAACTGCTTTGGATACTCACAAAGATCCATTGAGCAAAGGAAAGATTGTATCAATAGAAGAATATCTCCCCTTTATCCCCATTTTAAATTAGCTTTGTGAACATTCTGGGAACTTTCAATACAAGTATATGCTTTCTTTAGTGAAACTGTACGCTGTTCAAGGAGGAGCCTCACCTATGGTATGCAACATAAAGAAGTAGCAACGGGGGTTGAGAGGCATATCTGAGTTCTACAGTGGAGAAGGTGTTTCATAAAACAGTAACAGAGACTGTTGGAGCTAGCATTTCCTAGACCATTGATGATGGTAAAATGTTTCTGCATTCTGCTCCATTGAAGCTGCAGATGATGTAACCATGGACCTATTGTTTACCACCCCATCCCCATTTCCCTCATCCCAATCTTCCTCTTCTGAGTTCCTTCCCAGCTACAGAAACATTTGGACAAGGAGAGAGACAGAGAGAGAGAGATTGAAATTACATGACTGAGCCCCTAAGACAATTAAGACTGAGATAGATAGGTTCTTGATTATCAGGGGGATCTAATTGAAACTTTCAGAATACAGAATGGCCTGGACAGAGTGGATGTTGGGAAGATGCTTCCATTGGTAGGAGAGACTAGCACCCGAGGGCACAAGCTTAGAGTAAAGGGAAGACCTTTTAGATCAGAAATAAGGAGAAACTTCTTCAGCCAGAGAGTGGTGAATCTATGGAATTCACTGCCACAGAAGGCTGTGGAGGCCAGGTCAGTGAGTACATTTAAGATGGAGATAGATAGGTTCTTGATTGTCAATGGGATCAAGGGTTATGGGGAGAAAGTGGGAGAATGGGGTTGAGAAACTTATCAGCCATGATTGAATGGCGGAACAGACTCGATGGGCCAAATGGCCTAATTTCTGCTCCTATGTCTTATCTTACATAAGTCCCCAGTTCAAACACTGAAATGATCTTTGTTCAAGCACGTTGTGAATTATAGGACATGAGTGGCCTGTAACCAGTACAAGGGGTAAAGGTAACTCATGTGAAAAGTCACTGAAGGATAAGATCACTGACAAACTCAGCTACAGATATAGACCATATACAGCTGAATGGCTATGTAACTGAGAACTACTTTGATTTTGGTAACACTAAAGCTTTTAATAGTACATTCTCAATGTGAATCCTTAATAATACTCTAACATGAAACTGAATGCATCTCCATGTGAAAAAAAGCCTCTTTGTTAGATATTGCTTCCCTCATTGGGCACTTTTAATCTCAATTAATAAAACTTCGATACAGAATTCAGCAGATCTCAGTGTGAAAGAATAGTTCAATGTTAGATACTGTCTGCCTATTAAAGCAACGATAGGACTCTGCCAATCAGCCAACTATCCAGCATTATGTCAAGATAACTGGAAAGAAATTGAGATGTAAATTGAGTATAAAATTGCAGGTGAAATCAATGGAAAAATTGGCACTGAGACAGCACAATAAAGAATGCCAGAAGAAGAGCTCTTTCAAGGGTGTCACTTACAAATAATGTTTAGGAACCTACGTGCATGCACACACAGATTTACTGATGATTTGGGGACCTTTTTTTAATTGGTTTGAGAAGGACTGCTTGTTTTACCATCTATAACAAGAAATCTACATTAGTGCTACCACAATAGCTTATGCAAGTAATGGGTCTGCACCTAAATGTTCAAGTAGGGCAGAATATTAAGCAACTCAGACAATCCAGCAGCTTCACTGTTTAGAATTACTAGAGTATTATTTTGTTTCTAGAACAACAGACAGACCGCAGATACTGCACTGCACTTACCTGTATGATGCCTCCCATCAATGATGCTGCAATTGCCATTGAAGTACATACTACACCAAACACTATACCTGCAAGACAATGGGAAAAAGTGATGAGAATGGTAAGGAAATTCAAACATATTTAGATTTAGTCATAGCTATATTTAATTATCATAGAAGTATGCAGACATAACACTGATTTCTAAGAATCAGGAACTTCATTTTTTGAGTTTAATTTTACAAACTTTAACGTGCTACTGACATGTTTTAGCTCTTAGCTTCTGGTAGCTTTTGTTTTGCTTGCCTCTGAGTCAATACCCAGCCTTAACCAATCAAGTACAGTGAGCATAGATCAGTTATCAGACTCACATAGTTAAATGAAGACAACAACTGCAATCGCATTCATATAGCACATACAACTCAATAAAACATCCCAAGGCTCTTCACAGGAGCAAGTATCTGGCAATGATTTGAAATTAAACTATATAAGGAGACAAGAGAGACTATAAAAATTTTGGACAATGATGTTAGTTTAAAGAATCATTGCAAACAAAGGGAGAAATAGGAATGGGATTCCTTGACTTTTGGAATAGACAGCTAAAGATATGGCTGGCCACGGTGGAGGAATTAAAATTGTGGATATGCATGAAGTCAGAATTGGAGGAGTGCAAACACCTTGTAGGATTGGCAAACATTCCAGTGTTTTTTCCTAAATGGGGAGAAAATTCAGAAGTCTGAAGTGCAAAGAGACTTAGGAGTTCTAGTCTAAGATTCTCGCAAGGTAAGTTTGCAGGTTGAGTCAGCAGTTAGGAAGGCAAATGCAACTTTGGCGTTTATTTTCAGAGGACTCGAATATAAAAGCAGAGATGTACTTCTGAGGCTCTGTAAGGCTCTGGACAGGCCACATTTGGAGTATGTAGTTTTGTGCTCCATATCTCAGCAAGGATGTACTGGCCCTGGAGTGGGTTCAGAGCAGGTTCAGGAGAATGGTCCCAGGAGTGGAAAGCTTAACATATGAGGAATGTTTGGCGACTCTGGAACTATGCTCGATGGAGTTTAGAAGGAGGAGGGGAGATCTAATTGAAACTTTCAGAGTACAGAATGGCCTGGACAGAGTGGATGTTGGGAAGATGCTTCCATTGGTAGGAGAGACTAGCACCCGAGGGCACAAGCTTAGGGTAAAGGGAAGACCTTTTAGATCAGAAATAAAGAGAAACTTCTTCAGCCAGAGAGTGGTGAATCTATGGAATTCACTGTCACAGAAGGCTGTGGAGGCCAGGTCATTGAGTACATTTAAGATGGAGATAGATAGGTTCTTGATTGTCAAGGGGATCAAGGGTTATGGGGAGAAAGTGGGAGAATGGGGTTGAGAAACTTATCAGCCATGATTGATTGGCGGACCAGTCTCGATGGGCTGAATGGCCTAATTTATGCTCCTATGTCTTGTGGTCTTATAGTGAGATTTGGGTGGGATTTTAAAAAGTGAAAAGGTGAGAATTTTCAAATTAAGGGGATGCCAGGTGAGCAATCAGCATAGGTCAACGAGTGGATGAATTTGGTGTGGGTTTGGAAATGGGCAGCAGGGAATTGGATGAGTTCAAGTTTATGCAAGACTTGAGTCCCAGGCAAATGTGAAGGGAAATCTTATGATGTCACTGTTGCCTCATTTTTATTTCAATGCCCTTGGAAAATCCTTAAAGTAAGAATCCAGGCAAAAGGGAGAGACCGTATTTATGATCTTGGAAAACAAGTGATCCCTGGATAGAATTATCAACATAATGCAAAGTCAGTTTAACTAGATATACCATGGTGCAAATTCAGAAAAATATACAGCTCAAAATAATTGCAGCAGTGTAACAGCAACAACAATGTTGTATTAACCAGAATTTAGTGATGGAGGGAGCTGCAGTAAATTGCTTGGAGGCAGAAGTAAATTAACATGCATTAACACAAAGCTGCACAAAAGCACAAAGGTTCTTAAGGAGGAAACTGGTTCAGGACAATTGGAAGTGAATTATATTTCTGTTCTCTTCAAACCCTCTTTCAAAATGAAAATTTGATGGGCTATGTAGATGGAAAGTACTTACACAAGCCCTTACTAATCCAGGTGCTTGTCTTTTCCGACACATTGGGGAAGCACTGTTTCACAAAGTCTTCATAGGTTACAGTTGCCAGTGCATTAATACTGGCAGCTACTGTGCTGTAAGCCAGGAAAAAAAAGCAAAAATGCCACAACATGTTGACAACCTATTAGTATGCTTTAATAAAACAATTTCAGCAAGTGACATAAATGTGGATATTCCAACATACTGACCTAAGTGTGCCACTAAATGCACAGGCTACAAAAAGCCCAGGAAGTCCTGGTAAGTGTCCCAATATTTCCATAACAAAATAGGGCATCAGCTGCAATAAAGAGAAAACAGATGTAAAATGTGTCAAGAAAATGTTCCCTAAAGGCTGTGCTTGGAATTCTGTCAGCTTGTGAGCAATGTGAGCCACGGTGAGTCATAGTCAAGGAGTGAGAGAGATCAACAGTACAAAGAAAGCCTCTTTGGCCTATCACCTGTGCCTGTCAAAAACAACGACCTAACTATCCTAAACCCATTTTCCAGCACTTGGCCCATAGCCTTGAATGCCTTGGCAATTTGCACTTCTAAATATTCATTAAATGTTGTGAGGCTTTCTGCCTTTATGACTCTGAAAGATAGTGAATTCCACACCCCCATCACCCTGTGGGTGAAAAGCTTTTTCCTCCCATCTCCTCGAAACCTCCTGCCCATTACGTTAAAATCTATTTCCCCAGTCATTGATCCTTCTGCCAAGGGGAAGCATTTCTTACAGTCTATTCTGTCTGTTCCTCATATAATTATATGCAAAAGCCATTTGGAAAAAGACAGTTTTACTGTTTAAAAGTTTTAACGGTAAGACAAGAAGCTCATTAGTGAGTGGACCAGTTTGTGTGCAATAGCATCTCAAAGAGCAAAGAAAAACTGTACAGTGCACCAATGCTGCGCTGATACATGATGCCATTCTAAACTAAAAATATTTTGCCTTTGTGTGGTCCATATCCCTCTTTTCGCTGCATTTTCTTGTATCTGTCAAGGCACCTCTCAAATGTTGCTATTCTGTCCACCTCCACCTCCTACTCTGGCAGCACATTCCAATCGGGTGTGCCGAAGTTGGTGTCAGATCTTGGTGGTACGGATTGAGCTCAGGCAATGGAGGCGTTGTATCCAGTCAGGGAAGAGAAAAGGGAATGGATGCTCAGGTCCGACCACAGAGTTATCAGCTTGGATTGGGTGGATCAGATCCTACAACAGGATGGGAGCCCTTTGAGAGAGGGGCCCTCTGGAGCCAGCAGGGGGCGTATCAGGTCCTGGGTGGAGTTGGGTAAGGCCTGTGGGTTGTAAGTGGTCTCTGTGAAGTATAATTACGGCTGTGTGAGCTAAATATGCATTGAGTTTGTTCATTTCTCAGGTGTTAGACTATGTATTTAATAGCCTAACTTTTCATGAGTCATTATTTACTTAACTAAACATGTTATCCAAAGTCTCTGTTTTTATCGAGACTTTCAGAGTTTCCAGGTGTAGATGACTTGCTCAGTGGAAAATTCATTTTCCCAACGATTCACTCGGAGTCTGCTACAATTCTGCAGGGTTCCCATGCACAACTGTGATCCACACTGACAACAACTGTCTATCTATTGGAAAATCTGTCTGGATTTGAAGTTATACTGCATGTTCTTAGTTCAGCAGTGGCATGAAGGTCTTATTAATTATGCTCATCAATAATATCAGAAGCTGCTTCAACAATAAGCATCTGACTTCGATACATTCAGGGAGCAACCCCCTCATCGCTGCACGCCAAATAACCTGTTGAACTGAAAGTTGGCAGACGGTTGAACTGAGTCGTCCTTCCTTTCTATGAGACAGGGAGCACTTTATGTTTATACTATCTGCATGCTTATAACCGAGAGAGTTAGCTATAATCTACAGCAGTTTGTAGTAATCTTTGCAAATACTGCAATGGGTTTGTAGATTTATGTTGCTAGATACATAATACCTCATTATATTATTTACATTCCTTTTTTTTTGTATACTAGTTTTGTTGCTTACCTGGTCTGAAGCTGAAATGAATCCTGCAGTCCATGGATCACAGTTTACATAATAGCTGTACATCACTAGTCCAGAGAACACTGCACAGACAATGATGACCCACAGTCCGAGCAAATTCAGGTACAGTGCCCTGCGACAAGAATTTAGATTTTCTTTATTAATTCTTTATTGCGTGTGAGTACTGCTTGCAAAGCTAGCATCTGCTGCCTATCCCTAAATGACCCAGAGACAGTCAGGTGCTTATTTAAAATATTCCACATGCAGTTATACCCGGAGCAGTGTTAAGAAGGGAGCCCAGGATTTTAACCTGGTGACAGTGAGACAGTTCCACATTAGGATGGTGTGTGGGACTGGGAGGAAGCCTGTCAGTGATGTTGTTCCCTTGCATCTCGGTGCTGCTCATCTGGTGAAGTTGGTGAGTTTAGAAGGAGCTGCCAAAGGAGGTTTATGATGAGAGGCTGCACTCACAACCTTGGATCTGATCAACATTGTTGCCAGTGACAAAGGGGCTGAATGTCGATGGTGGTGAATGGGGTGTTAATCCCGTGGATTGTCTCAAATAGTGTTGAGCCCTTTGGAGCTGTGACATTGAAGCGAGTGGTGAGTATTCTGTCACACTCCTGATTTTTGCCGTGTAGGTGGTGGACCAGTAATGAGGAGACAGGGGATGAGTTACTCACAACAGAATTTCCAGCCTCTGACCTCTATTACAGGCACAATGCTTTTGGGCTGGACACCATGGGATGCCACAGTCCCCAGCAACCCCATTTTGCTAACAATCGCAATGGCTGTAGTGCAGCAGTTTCATGCTGGGAGTGGGTGTTTGTCACTTTAAGACAAGACTCCTGCCCCTATTTCAGGGGGTAACACTGTTTTGGCAAAATACCAACCATATGGAGGCCATTGGCTCTGTAATAGCGCCGGCTGGGATTAGTGGTCAGTGTTGGGACTGCAAACAGTCCTACCATGCCAAGGAGCCCAGGAAGGTTCAGAGTCTGATGTCTCAGCAAGGCCTTGAAATGAGTGGGCTCAAGAGACCAGCTGGGGACAGAAGTTAAAGGGGAATCTAGCTCCGAGTCAGAGTGAGTGACACAGGTATACCTCAATTAGGTTTCCACACCCCTTGCCTGACACTGAGGCTTCAGCTTGGTCTGGGGCTACTCTCACTGGCAAGATGAGACCCTTAAGTTGCTATTAAATGTTCACAGCAGGGCCTCAGTAGGCCCGAGGATGAGTTTATCTGTGAAGACTCCACGCTACACTCTGTGGGGGTGCCCTCAATGGGGGAGCTTAAATTCCATCCCA